TCTCCCACCGACGCAGCACCACAGTTTCTTTAGAAACTTACCCCTTTATTCACGTGTTATCTGTAATTTGCACTCGTGTTACACGACAAATGCACTAGTTTTCAGCCAATCAGAAGCGCGCAATTTCATATATATTATAAAAGTGGAAAGAATGGAGTCAAATGCATTACTCTCCTCTATATCTAATTTGGTAGAGAGCGCGCGCAGTTGATTGATTGATAATGCGCAATTCATCACTTGTTGACGTCATTAAATTATTACAAATCTATAACACTGGCCTTCAGTGAAATAAGTGTTGAGCAGTCGCCATGTGAAAACTTAAGTAGACAGTTCATTCCTGGATCAGGATTTTATTGTAATGAGCAGAAATACTGTTGCTGAGATTTTGTTTCTTGTCTTGCTGCAATATTTTGTATTGCTTAACGGTAAGATGGTAACGACCAAAAAGTATGAAGATATGGTATTGTGCTGTATGTGACTGTCACATAGTATCGTGTTTTCACGTTTAAATTGAGTTAGTTTATCATTTAGGGTTATGGATATTTTATCACTTTAAGTGAGTTTTGTGATTTTTTTCCATGAATGCCCAACTGTATAAGAGTTACGACCCTTCAGTTATTCGGCCACGTAGGTTACGATGATATGAAGAAAATATGAAAATAAAAGGAATAAATTATTCACTCCTGAAAGTTCTTTTTAAATTGTAAACGGAATGAACTAACATTTACAAGTTTTCTGCTTAATAAACGAAAAATCTGCTACTTTGAAGGGTTTAGAGCATATCATTGACAGATATCTTTTCGTGAATGATTTTCCGAAGATTCCCTAAAGATTTCAAAAGGTGTGAGGTAATCAAAAGTGAAGACATGTGCTGTTGCAACACACTGCCTACAAAGGTTGTGCTGCCATTTCCCGACATTTCAAATATGTTGATTATTGTTTTTAGTTTACTGTTTTGGAGACGGGACTGATATTGCTGAAAAACGACTTGCATCTCAAAGCAGCACACAAACTCACTATCTGGCCAGTCATGCCGTAGACCGAGATCCTGATAGCTGCTCTCGAACCCGTCATCGGGTGAAACAGATGTGGAGAGTTGATTTAGGAATACGAGTGTGGGTAGTATCTGTTGGAATAAAACCTGGAAGAAGGCTACCAAACGTTGATATCAGAATAGGTAGGGCTCAAGGTAACAATGAAAAAATTTCTATTCATAAACCGGTCATGTGATAAAATTCGATCCACCTGTGGGCTTCGATAACTTCCATACATTATGTTTTGGGAAAATTTCCGAGTGATTTTGCAACATTTCATGCGATTATTTTATGCTTCTTTTACTCCGGCAAGGAGATCACTGGAATGTTTTCACCAAAGTTGGGGAGTGTTTTAAAATATCTTATCGCTATGTAGATATGAATTTTATGTTCGAGTGGCAAAAAAAAACTAATGAGTGAATGTTGCGAACCAATGAGATATTGTTCTCGCCACGATAACATGATCTCCCAATCTACAAGCTAAGTTATAATTTTGTTCTTATTATATAAGCAATGAATATACAAGTCAGAGATTTAAAACCTGGCTTCAATACAAATACTGGGTACTAATACAAACAAAATTCCAAAATTATAAAGAGGTTTGCATATAATACAGTGGCAGATCAAAGTACATGTGAACTGCTTTTAAACAAACTTAATAAAAATTCCAATTCTGGCTCTGGCTTGAGTCATCATACATCATTTTTAGCCTCTTTCCACTACAAACCCTTGAAGGTATAAAGCACGAACAAAAATTTACCTTTCCAATCTGGTGGATTTGAAAAGAACTTCCTGTAGAACCACCATGTGAAAAGCAAGCCGTTTCAGTTTTCTCTCCCAACAAAACAATTGACACTTCCACAAAAAATCTTAGGGCGGTCTTTGTTCCAAAGAACGAACATACCAAGTTGAATCAGCAAAGTTAGAAAAGGCGGGAAATGTGACGTCCTTGCTGAATATGACCACTCATATTACAAACGAAAAATACGACTCTCGTTTCCCGGATGTACCGGTTATATTGATTGATATTGATTACTTCACGGTAAAACGCTCCTCTCCATATTATAAAACAAACATTAGGTCACTGTGGCGATATGTCGCTACGACGCATTGCCCGCTCTACGATAATTTATAACAATTTACCGAAGTGGGGTCGTTAGTAGTGGATATTTACCGAGGTGCGAGCGGCGAGTTTAATGTCCACCACTAGACTTGACAATGAGGTGAATAGTTGTTTTAGTATATACTAAAATAGTAAGATAATACAGCCCTAAAAGATGATTTTAAATATTTTATTCCGACGACGATTAAAATACTTCCGGACGCAGATCCTGCGTGAGTTGCTCGGAGGTGCAAAGGATAATCGGAGTTTGAGTAGCCAATCAAGACGCGCCTTCAACGCTCTCCGTTCTTTTAATATGTGCTTAACTGGGATATTCCGATCGAGCGCCAAATGGTGATGTTCAATGTGCCGCACGCTCTACGGTATGTCGTTGTATCGAGGTTCCGCAAGGATGATATATTGCGGAAACGATATGTCACAAAAAAAGATCCGTTACCTTGTCGCTTTAATGTTCAAACCTTTTTGAAAATTCGCGATATATCAACGATGTAGCGTTGGGATATTTCGGAAGAACAAAGAGCAATACTTCATGATAATCGTTTGCATTATTGCTGATTTCACCACATGGAAGGTGTTGTATTATTTTACACCCAAATACTGTTATGCAAAGGACTTGTGATGTAAGCCTCTCAAGTGAATGTGCTCAAAGTAATCCAACAGGACTCGAACTTAATTACAGGTGATGAGGAAAGAGTGGCTTTTGAATCTAACCCACTGTGTCGCCAAGGTCTTGAAATCATCGACACTATTTTTCGATCATACGACTGTGCTGAGCCAATGCTGGGCAAATATGTTTATATTTCACTCAACTACAAAGAAGCAGCAACGCTGGAATTGTGTGATGTACAGGTGT